ATAACAGATTTTCATATATAAAAAAAAAAAATAATAAAATAAATAAACCAACCTTTTACATTTTTATTTAATAAAATTGAATTCTTACCCACTGCATGACATTTAAGGTTTTCAAAAGAAAATCTTGACTGTCGCGAAAAATATTGCAAAACGTATAGTTGGGATACATGCATTGAACGTATAATAATACACTCGAGCGTACGCCACACACATTCGTAGGAGACATACGTAGGCACGTAATTGTATAATAATATAATATGCAAGCACGTAAAATATGTACAAAGTAAGGTGCGTGAGTGGAGTACTTGAAACTAATGGAGATAAATTCTTTACGAAAAAAGAAACTGAATGTGTTAAATGCATTAATGTGTTAGCAATAGTAGCTCTCTACGTCATGTTACGCGCATTTGAATTCACTAAATAATCGGAATGCAACGGATTATTTGAAATCTCAGTATTGTTCAGAATAATAATAATAATAACTGCTGAGTTAACTTCTTGATATAGTCTATGATATTATGACGACAGGTGTCATTGCGTGCCGGCCGATTACACGCACCGTATCGAAAAACGAAAGTTGTTTAAGTGTGCGTTTGTTACACTCGAAGGCGCGCGAAGTCTGAATGTAGTTTGTAAAATTGACATCCGATTAGCTCTTGATTGTTATAACCTGTTTGACGAGATCCTTTTCGTTTATCTACGGGAGATTAAGTATTTTGGTTCACGTATTACCAAATGTTCAAGGTTTTTCATTGCCAAGTATACCGGATTCCGCACGGGTTTGGGATAGGTAACATTGTTGAGATAATGTTACGGTTAGTAATGGGCGGTTAGTGATTAGTTAGTCCCGGGAATATATTTTTGGGAGTTTCCCCGGTGAAATTCACGGGAATATAATAAGTTTTTAAATATTGATCATAGGTTTCAGTTATAAATTAAACTTATGACTGTAAATGATCCAAATTACAGTTTTTTACTTGGTAATATGACCAACACGCCAATTTTGTTTTACCACCAGCCATTTCAACAGAAAATTTGATTAGCACCAAACAAATAACGTATTTTATGTACTAATACGTACACTAGATTTAAATACAAAAAGTTATTAACAGAAATTTTAAGAAGTTTGTGAAGTGTGAAACTAAAAATTTAACCTACTTGGTTCTATGTATGTATAAAACTAATAACTATGTAAATGGAAAATACTAAAGTGAAATAACGATAATTCTATAGAATATATTGCTTATCAATACTCAATAGTATGTTGGTCAACAAAGCAGTTTAGCGAATTGATGTGAACAAAATACACTAATGAATACTGTTACTCTAGTACAGAGTACAGACGTATAGTAGTATAGACTGTCATTCTATTCCTACTTAATTTTTATTTTTTTTATTTTTTAAAGAAATTTCTCGAGATGCTGGGGAATATTCCAGGAATATTCCTTATTCCCGAGAACATTCCTTTGGGAATATTCCTAATTCCTAGTGGCACATCACTAGTTACGGTAGTATAAGCGGTAGCGGATTTCTGACTACAGTTCGAGAACCGCGTAATAAAAGCAAAACTTTCGTGGTTCTCGCTGGAAATTCGCGGGTTAGATGAGTTTAGAGCCATCATTGACCGTGCAGGGATCCTTGGGCATGTTAATTCAGGGGTCTTTTAAGAAGCGCAAAATTATGATTATTGTTTTACACTACCCATTAGTTTCTAAATTATAACAAACATTCGAAATCCGAAACGATATTTTCACACCTACGTCTTTGTTCAAAAAAACGTGTCAACGCGATATTATTGTATCACGGGAATATAATGGTAAATAAGTCACCCATTGCTGTACGCCAATAACTTGTTGTTAATGAAACGTGTATCGCTGAAGCGGTAATCGTCGTGTTCATAGCGTTTAAATGATTCGTACTTATTTTTAAACGACGTGGTATTATCTGGGCCCGACGGTAAAGTGTCGAGATAGAGATATTGCGCCCGTACGTGTCACAACGTCAAGACGTAAATAATAACACTCGGAGTCTCCCCGTTGGTTTAGGGCTCGTGCCCCGTACGCCCTTAGGAGGAACAAGGCGTTGGGCGAGCCGCTCCGGAACGACGAACGTTACCGGGGTACAGTTGCGAGAAAGGACGAGGGAATCGAACACGAAAAATCACGCGCGCGAGTACGTCTACCGATAATCTTGTCCACGGACGCCGCCTCGCGAAAGTGTTGTTGCGCCAATACCACCGGGTATTATTGACGTACGCATTGTCTCCGTGCGTACGACTCGCATTCGTTACGTTTCGACCGACTTCGCGCGGCGGCGGCGGCGGCGACGATCATTTTACCGTCCACCCACCACCAGCCCTTAACCAACCCTCCTCCGACCGTCCGCGCGATGACGAGGGTCTTTGAACACCTGACGCGATGCGGCATCACGTGGAGGTGCTGCTGCACAGCGGTCGAGAAGAACGGACCGATGACGGGCGGGCGCGGTCGAGGGCGAAAGAAGCGAGCGCATTGTTCCGCACCGTTCGGGGGCGCAGTCTTGTAAAGTATTTGAGTAGAAACGTTGGAGTTCAAAAATATTGAAATGTTTTTAACGTATTTAAAATACTTTTTCACGTGTATTTAAAATTCAAACACTTTTTTTAAATACTTTAAAAATATGATCGAATCAAATTTATATTTTTAATAGGCCGGTGTAGTTATAATATTATTCTAACTATTATCGTACATACAAAACCGCGCACCGGTGGCGGTAACGGACCGTACGCGCGGACATAAATACGTTCGTGTCGGTGCGTACGTGCACGTGCATTCACTTGAAAAACGAACACGAACTAACGGTACGCGTGTTACAACAAGACGCGTTCGCGTGGCGATTTTTCCGTTTTCCGAAGAGAGCAAAAAAAAAAAAAAATAATTCCATAATAAATTTACTCGATACCCGCGAGACGGTTTATGGTTTTTTTCTTCGTTTTTTTTCTCTAAAATCATAATCGTACGAATCGTCCGGAAGTGTACGATCCCCCGGCGATTTCGATACGCGCACACGATATTTTTATCGTCGCGTGTTCGACAACCTTTATCTAACCTAGCCGTGAGAAACGTTGCGCTGGTGTGACGAGGAGCAACGGGCCACGTCCTATGACCTACTCGAACGTTTAGTCCGAAAACTTATTTCTTTTTTTTTTTTCCGTCAATCCCTTCCCGCGAGTAACACTACTGTTAACTGCCAAACGTTTCGCTCTCCGTACGGCTCAAGTGTATCGATGCGCGTGTGCACGCGGAGAGGGTGTACGTGCGCGCGTACAAATGCAGCCGCAGGGGTGGCGTAAAAAGCCAATATTTAACGGGCCGCGTCACAATCAAAATTATATTTTATTTACCAGTTCCGCTACACCTTTAAGCGCACACATGCGCACGCACATTTACGTAGGTATACGTTTATACGCGTGCATATCGATTTTTACATGCGTATATATATATATATATATATATATATATATATATATAGTACATGCTATACGACTACATGGAATAACATATCATATAACCTACAATTGTCGTGTGGTCACTTTTGTCACACACACACGCACACGCAAACAAGTAAATAAAACCCGCACCCATATACAAGCACACAACACGTGTACACGCACATTTCAATGGTATAAATTATAATCTGCACATAAAACGCCCAACAGTTGTAACAGGGAAAATGTAGTTGGTAATTGAGTACGAATATATGTATACATAGTAATTTAATTGATTTATTATGTTAAATACCTGTGGCCAATCGCACCCTTTTAAACAGCGGTTAATTATAAATATTTGATACTCGCATTATTTGTATAGTTTTAGCATTTCATAGTTTCTCTTAAATTGGAGATTTGATTTTAGGTTTGAGTTTGGTTACAATTTTTCATTTGCTTGATAAAAAAACAATATTAGTTATTTTATTATTTAATAAACGAATTTATTAAACTAACTACATATATATAGTAAAAACTATTCCACGTTTTAGTTTCTTCCTTCATCTTATTTCTTAGGCACCGAAATTATGACATTACTTTTGTCAACGTTCATACTCTTAATTAAATCACGTTAGAAAAATGTTATTTTCAAGAACTTATTGTTGATTTTATCTAAAAAATAACAGTGGACATAAAGAATTTACGTTGACAAGTGTAAAATTGATGTTATAAGATATATAGATATCTACAACTTTTAGTTGGATACAAATATAAATTGTATAAAGTTCTTAAAATGTCCCAGTTTAATATCTAAATATTAATCATAAATTATGGATGGTTTTTATAAACTAAATTAAATAAAATTCGACACATATTGTCAAATCACGTATAAAGTAATTAATTTTTGACTGTGAATATGTTAAGTTTAATATTGATTTTTACAATGGCGAGTAAATCTCTATATGAAATTTAATGATCTCAAAATAATAAATGTGTGTCCAGCAAGCTTTTTTATATCAATAATAAAAAGAGACATGAAATCAAAAATTGTTATTTCTTTTTATTCGATTTAAATGTTGACGGTTTACATTCTGAGCCATTCACGTAATGAATTTACGATAGCCAATATCTGAAATACCGCATTGGAAATGTTCGAATTTATCGTCGAAAAAAAGAAGCGTCGCAGTATTTTTTGCCAAACTTCGATAAACGAAACAAGCCAGTTATCAACATTAAAAACTATTTTATTTTTATTGTTCTGTTCTCCTCAGACGAGTTTGATGCACCACGAAAAGGTCGTATTGAAATTTATGTTCGTGACCTTTAAGGTCGTGCCAAGAGTTTAGTGGCCAAAAAACATTGTAGCCTGTAATATACGTTTATGTAATACGGTTTCATGCGTACTATCTTTGATATTTGCGTATATGCGTTTAAAAGAAAATCGACAGTAACGGCATTTATTTTATAATATAAAAATAAAAATATTATAAAGTTAATGGTAACGGCTACATTTTTTTTTCTCTTTTGATTTCAGGCTCAAAATTCCTGTGCAGTGAGGTCATCGCCCCCGTCAAGAGCGAAGTGGATGACATATGTTTGTACATCATCAACTTTGAAGATCTGACATCTCCCCCGTCACCTGTCGAACAACCAGACCCGGCATCTAGACTGAGTAAATGTAATGATTATAAACGCTTCGTTTTACGCGGTGTATATGCACGTTTTGATGTATTTAGTGTACGTGTGTATTTGTTTGTTTTTTGGCGTGTTCAAAGACCGATCGCCTTCATCCTCTCCTAGTTCATACGTAATGTACCGTAACACATCGTTTTTGCGTACACATTTTTTTCTTCCGTCGACTTGGTCTCCGTGTACCTGTATACGCGTCCTGCCGAGTAAAGGTTTTGAAATATCTCATTTCTTTCTGTGGTGTTTCAGTCGACAGGGCTAGACAGTCGTTTCGACAATCATTGCGGATGAGTTCGTTCCGCGGTCGCAACGCAAGGCAGTCCGGCCGACTAACGCCACTACCGCACGACGACGAATTCGACGAGGAGAGCAGTAGCACGCACCTGAAAACACCATCTACCCCCAAAGCCCCGGATTCCTTGAGGCAAGTCGTCGACATAGTGTCTTTTACGCACGCACACCCTATATATATATATAAATATACCTTTATATGTTATATCGCAACACGCGATTTTGCGCCTCGTCCTGCAGTGTTTCCCAAACACTTTTTATATTAATGACGTGTACAATGGATGTAATTGTTTCTCGTATTATATACACGGTTAGAAAACAAATATTCTCTATTATTTTGACGATTTTGACGACGAATAAATGTTTAGATCTTTAGATCTGGGGGCAGATATCAGATTTGTGTTAAATTAAATGGGGGAGTGGCACCTCGCGAAAAAGTTTGAGAAGCACTGCGGGGTACTGCACAACATATACCTAATGTTATTTACGTTGTTTCTGAGGTCTGAGATGATTTTTTCAGTTTGAAAACCGCTGCGGCCGAAAGCATCATCACGTCGACGACGACGGCCCGTATCGAAGACGAGACCACCAGCCCTCAGCCGCTCATCACCCGGCCCGAAACCCAAGTGCGTTTTCCATCCACTTTCCTAAGAGTACATCGTAACGAAAGTGCACCACGTGCTGGTGATGTCCTTCGGATGAAAGCATTGAACGTTACGGATGAGCGTTCGGGATTTTACACGATAGAATTTATTTCGATCGACTGTCGGTCAGTCCATTAACACACGCACAATACGCGAAAATTATGCAAACGAAAACGAGTAGCAAATCTGCTCTGTATGTTATGTAACCGTATAACATAGCATTCGGCGTACGTATGTTTCGGTCGAGTTCGTGAAGTTTTCGGATTCACGTATTCGGTGGCCGCAGGGACGTATTGCGTGGGATCGGCAATCGGATGTGTTGCCTTGTTCGTAAGATCCGGTAGCCATATGGCCGAGATTACGAATTCGACAACGGCGTTGCTGACGTATTGAAATCGTCTGAATCATCACCGATTTTATGAGATCAGTGATTTCACGGATTCGGCATAAGATGTAAATGCAATCGTACGGCTTCTTTAACTTATGGACCTTTGGTTCGATTAACACGTGTGTGTTTGTAATTTGTATCCGACGATGACTGTAAACGAGCGGTTTTCGTTTTATATTTGTTTCAACAACACTATCGCTATGCGCCAACGGAACAACGTAAATGGGACAGACCCGTAGCCACGAGGGGGCGGCATTGTTCTCCCTAGACCTTCCAAACAAGTATTAAATGTGCATATGTGCAACTATGCAGTTATGCACTATTTCGTTTTTTACTAATGTATCCCCCTCCTGCATAAAATTCGGTTTTATCTACCTGATGATTTGGTTTGGCCATTGGCCTGAGCAGAGAAAAACTTAAGGACGTTAAAGGTAGTGAAGAAGATAATAACCTATATGAAATCCCCGAGTGAAAACTATAGTAATAGAAAAAATATGATAAATTATTTCATCTACAATCTATCATGCAAGTAAAGTGCCAAAATTAAATTGATATTTAACTTTTACGAAGTGCCCGGAACAGCTGTTCTATGAAAAACACTACTAGTCGCTATTATGTAGGTAATGCACGTGCGCTAAATTATGCGATTTTAATTAACATAAACATAACATAATTATTGTTTCAATAACTTTTTATTAATTTTATTATTTGATAACAAGAACGTAATAATACTACGTGTTCTTCGTGACTTGTTAATACTTGTGAAGTCACAAGTTTTCCGTTTTATAACACATAATCGATAAAGGTTATTGGCGTTTTAAAAGTGATTTCCTGAGTATAAAGAAATTAAATATTAAATTGTTGGTATTTTTTATTTATTTTTTTGTTGGCCACTTGCCTAAGTTTGAATTTTATGTGAGGTTTTTTTTGGTATTCAAATACACGAAGCATTTTAAACTAATATATTAACACGTTTCCTGAATTTATGATAGAACTAAATCTAAAAGTTAGCGTTATAATAGAAAACTCATCAAAAAATAGTTATTGTATAGTTATTAACAGAGTAATTCATAATGAAGAAAAAATGGCTGGATCCTAAATAAATATTTACGGAACATGGACAAAAAAATATATGTTATAATTGATTCCAAAATATTTCGTTTTCTGATAGTTATCCGCGATAAAAAAAGGCTTTTATACGGTAAAAATTTCGATTTATAATTTGAAAATAAATAACTTACTGAAAGAAATAAGATCGTATATTTATTTCAATTTTTAGTTCACTAATTAGTGAAAGATAAAAAGCTGTTATCGGATGGAAAATATTAGTTCGTTAACGAAGAAAAAACGTTTAAATTTCACAAAAATAGGTATGATTGTTATTTTATTATTATTTTTGTTAAGATTTTTTAATTAATACCAAGTTTCACGTTTTGCCTGTACAGGTAGACCTCTCCAGTAGATCATAGCGTGTATGGCCAACATTACGTATTGTTATAAAAACAATGTTTCTTCGGATAAGATATTATTAAATAATGATGAATTTGAAGAGGGAAATCGGCTATTAGATTTGTTGGTCTCCTAGTATTGATCGATATTAAGTTACAAATAATGATTATTATAATATTTATCAAACGTTTTTTTAATCTTATTCTCGTTCCTTTAATGTTTTTTTAATGATTGAAAAACGTAAAAGTACACCTCTCCATCGTAGTAGGAATTGAATCTCGGGTTTATTTATTTTTTTATATTTTCCACTTATTTTTTTTCCAAAACCTGTCACCGGTATTCAAGTTGAATAATAAAGTATTATTTTGAAATATAGTATTTGATAATATTATATGATCACGGATTTTCTTTTTGTATAATACCAAAAACTTTTAGTTAACTTTAAATGTAAAATGTTTATTTGGTCAGCATACATTTTATTTCTATGGGGCTTAAAGTTTTTAGTAATGAGTTATAACCTTGAACGTAAAAACTTTAACTTCTATGTAATATTATAATAATTAAAGAGTTTGAGGAAAAAAAATCATAACGTAAACTGTACAGCTAAATATTAAGTTAGTGAATTCGTGTTACAGTTAAAACTATTTCTGACAAAGAACTTAAAAAAAATTATGAAATTAAGGTTTGAATTTGATTTTTGATTTTTTTTTTTTTTTTCGTGTATTTCTGAGAGGAAAAAATAATGTATTTGTTACATTGTTACTTTTTAATGGCTGAAAAGTACTTAAAAATATTTTCTTTGGCGTAACACTATGAAGAGATAGACGTCTATTATTGTGAACTAAAGAAAAAAAATCAAGATATATAATATACACATAGATGATTTTGAAAAATAATTAAACACTGGAACTCGAATAATATTGCAAAACAATTCATTCGGTGACAGTTACACACATAAAATTAAAATATTTTATGTTTAAATAAAACGCGATAAAATTCAAACAAAATTATTCTGAGAGTGGGGAAATATAGTGCTATTCAATCTAGGTGTACCAACAATATTATTATGTGCACGTATTAATAGAGACATTTGGAGTAATGCTGTTTTGGTGGTATAAAATGCATAATTGTTTTTATGTTAATAACGCACTAGTGAACTGTTAATGGGTCGTTCTTATTTTTTTTTTTTGTCTTCTATCTATTGCGTTTGCCTCCTCTAAAGTAATTTCCTATTGTTCGGTCGACCGCGTAAGTCGTAAAACAATTCCGTCATAAAGATCGAAGGATTTGAAGAGAGACACATAAAACCCGTAAATCCCCTATGCGTGCCTCTATAAAATCTATGCTGACGATAAATATATATACATATAATATATTTTATATATTTGCTGGATGAAAAACAAAGAAATCGTGAAAATGGTGTACGATAAAGGTATAATTATATATGCATCATAATCAGTTCTTGTTTATGTCATGACACTGCGTAAATCCAAAGAATAAAACAAAAAGTTAAAAATATTGTCAAGTTTTGACTATTAGGTGCTGAATATCAACAAAAAAAAAAAAAAAAAAAAAAAAAATGAAAATAAATAAGAAATAAAAATAAAAAGGCAATAGTTTCCAACGAATGCAAAAAATACCGAAAATATTATTATTATGTATAAAACGTGTTCGTGTTTAATGCATTCATTCCATATAATTATCATAAAAAACAGATTTGTATTGTACTTTCAATATAACTTTAATATTAACCGAAAGCATTCTCTCTCTTTCTCTGCTCCTTTTCTGGTAGAACTATCTTGGCGCAATACGAGTTATAATATCATAACATCAGTTATAATACACGTCGTCAGGCGATTCGAATGACGTACACGTTGAATGCTATATGCTTACCTAAATATATGGTATACAAGGTATGTTGAATAATAAATTCAAAGTGGTGGACTAATAAAGATTAGTCGACTTCTACTACATCACATTACATTTGTAAGTTTTTTGTAAATATTATCCCTGCAGTTGCCGCTATACAATATTAAATAAAATATCATTAGAACATATTTCTCTTTTAAATATTTCTCACTGATTTAGTCAAACTTCATTATAAGCACTTCAACAACTAGTTAAACCACCAAACCCAATCCACTTATTTCTCAACTTGCATCTATAACCATACCAGTAAATTATCAAAAAAGCCTTAAAAAGAAGTTACATATTCGTGATATTTTCATATGAATACATATAAAATAAAAAAAATTTAATTAAATATGTAAATGTAAGCATGTGTGACATAATTATTATCTTGTTGAAGATAATAAAAGTTCTAATAGGAGGGACCTTCACTCTGTGTTCTGTGCATGTATATTATTTTATCACTTAAGTTCATCGTTTTAATTTCAGCAGATTGCTTAAAAAAAAAGTATGTTAAAAAGAAATAAATAAAATAATATTTCTCAGACGTTTCGAAATGTAGAAACACGCAACTTCCTCTGAACTATAATAACTACGGCTCGAGGTCTTTCAATTTCTGCAGTTAATCGTGAAACTTAAAAATACATACGTATTTCTCTGTGAAACATAACGTCAAATGCGTTATGTCAATTCACTATTGGCGCAAATAACAGTAGGAGGTTTTAGCCCCCTATAATATTTTTAACACCTACCTCCCCACCAAAAAACTAAACATTGATCTACATAGTATATTTGAAATCTTTTAGTTTCAGACCTCCTCCTCCTAATATTAAACACTATTTGCATTAATGCTATTCACTTTCATTTAATTTTATACTTGCATGACTCTCAGTAGATTTAAAATGATCCTCTTGATGAGGATCAGAACTTGATCAGAAAACAATAGTGTAGTGAATTACCTAGATAAAATATGGTAGTTATCTATTAAATTATCTCGATTAAAATAATTGTTATCAACTTTTAATTTTATTTAGATAAATAAATAGGCTATTTGCGAATAATCATTTAGCGATAATTATTCAGTTAATGATTATAAAATGTTTGATACAAAATAATTTTAAATTCTAAACATTTATTGCACTCTATAAACACTTTAACTAAATAAATATTAACTTATAATAGTATTTACGAAAATATTACGATAATATAACAAGTACGGTCAACGCGATATTGACAGCATCAACAATAACTATTTGACGTTGTGGGAAAACTTTTTTTGGTTATTAATGTTTCACATATTAACGTCACACATATTATATAGCCCAACCAATCATTCAATTGTGTTTACATTGATAATACGCTTTATATACATACCTTTCAAAGAATTACGGAGAAACAGAATTTATAGTGGAACTATTTTTACCCATTAAAATACTCATACTAATTACTAAGCAGCTCTTAAACTGTATCAAATATTATAATTTTTTTTGATTCGTATTTGCCAATAATTGGAAATGGATGAATTTAAAACATTTTTCCATTTTATAGACATTTTTAATATGATGATGTTGAAACCGACAATTCTGGGCAATTTTCTGTAAAAGCAATGTAAATTTAGTCATATTCGTATAAAATAACGTTTGAAATATGTTTTATACAAAGAATAATATCATAAACTATTGTGTTCCATAAATAAGTTTCCGTAACGTGCTCTGATCGATGAGAAAAAATGTCATTGCGAAAAGTATGATACAAATCACATACCATGCTGGTGAATAACGTTAAAACATTTATAAATGATTTCAATGTTATTATGTAAGATAGTATTATTATGTGTGGTGTGTATATACACTGTACCTACTAGGGATAGGTATGAAAACTGAAAATCTGAATTTTCCATCTACCCGGATATTAAATTTCGGATTTGAATCAAATTATTATGTGGCTCTGGAAATCCGGATTTATAGATTTGCTTTTTATGTATTTATGTGTTTTTATTGTGTTTTTTATTAATTATTTTTAATTTCTAGTAAAATAAATTATTCTATTTCATTGTCATTAAAATTTAACAACAAATGAATATTATATTTTATGAATTACAGTACACTTATCATGTTTACAACATTTTTTATAATTTATTATTAGTTCCCATGACGAGTTATCAAATTGTTGAGATTATTTTATACCTCTATGATTTACAATGATATCATGACTGAGTATCCAATTATCTTATCTGCAGAAAATGTATGTGAATATAAAAATGAATCATTGAACAGCGAAATCGAATTCAATAATCTGGATTTCCTAAATCCGAATTTGACAAATCCACAAAATTCATATATATCAAAACCGGATATATCCATATTTATTATTAATTGACTGACTGTCGATGGTTAAATTCACCGTACATAAATACGGTGAATATTTTATACATAAAAACGAAACAATAGCGTATGGGTGACGTTTCACATAAACGGATCTCGATGTCTATGATATCTGAATAAAGTGTAGATTCCGAACGCTCTTTTGAACACCCACCGTGACGGCAATGAACTCGTCGTGCAAAGGCGCACTTAGCGTGGTGTACTTAGGACCCAAGACTTGGTCTCAAAATAGAGGCTACCACATGAGAAATTTGAGCACCTTCGGTGCAATACAAGGGCGGATCCAAATTTAATGAACTGTGGGTCAGGATATTTCAAGAGGCCACTTATTATGGCTGAAAATAGATTATATATGTATACAGGTACCTTGTAACAAAAAAACACAATATAATCAAATAATAATGCTCTTAAGTTTATAGATAATTATCATTGAAAACATTAACATTTATTTTATTTTATGCAGAATTCCGTTTTACAGCATAGAATTCTTTATTATAGTATACAATTAAATCAGTGGCGTCATTTGGAGGAGGGGTTGGCATTTTTCCAGTATAGTATTAATATCAACCTATAGTCAGCACACTTAAAATATATAAGAAGTATTCGGGAGGTCTATTTTGTCAATAAATATTTAACTTTGTGTTAACCAATTACCTGAACTCCATCCGAACTAGATCCGCCCCTGTTGCAACACCAAGGTGGCATCATGGGCCAAATGTTTCGGGTGAATGATCACCACGATTCGGCTCGCAACAAGCCACATTAAATCTTAGAAGATAGTATAATTCGCGATTGTATTCAAACCGAATCACTACCACTACGTGTGTGTCATTCTTTTTTTTTTAGATCAGTCAACCCCATAGGACGCCTGATGTCCCGTCACCGTCACGGTCACCCGAGAAATCCCCGGAACGGAATCCGTCGTTCGGCAGTCCGCCCGTACGGTCCAACACCGATTCTGTATGTAAGTATACACGTCCTCGTACTACAGTCAAGAACTGTAATATTTTGGTTCGGTGCGTTGATTTTTTTTCACTCTGTCCTGTTTCTATTTTCTTTCTTGTGTCTATTTGGTTTCTGTTTGTTTACATTCTTCGCATGATTTGCTGCTATAGTGGCGTCGCGCGTTGAAAAGGATCAGTTGCAAAGACCGAAACGACCGCACACTATCGATATCATTACCGAAGGTATATAGAAAAAACCATAACAACAAATCCCCAACCAAACAATAAAAATATAGAAAAATAAAAAAAAAATTATCACAAACTTAATAATAATAAAACTTTTAACTTTTTAGTCGAATTACATTATAGAAGTGTAGTCGTATTGTTATAATATTTTTATAATTTTTTTGTATGTAGTTAAAATATGCTTTTATTGAATAGCATATAAATAGAATTAGATGTATCATATATCTTACCAAAAGCAATTATTAATCGTATTCCGTAATATTTAATCACCTATTTTGTTGCTTAATTTCACTAATAGAAATGCCTGTATTATAAGTTTATACGTGTAAGGTTAGTTATTTATTTGTTAAAAATTGTACTATTGATCTTGCAACAAATTTCGCAATTCAATGTAATTCGTTTTATTATAGTGGAACTTCGTTAAATTATTAACGTTGTTCGTATTTGTATATTTTATATCCACTGAATCAAACATTTAACACTTTTCAGTAAAAAAAAAAAAAAAAAAGAGTTAAATATTATATTTTTTAAGTGTTTGATGAATTATTTAAGTTCTACATAATAAAATTGAATGTTTTGGAGTCGAGAACTTTATAATTTATATAAAATTTAAGTCATAAACATTATTTAATTAATCAATTTACTGTTTTGTGAGTTTTTGTTATTATTATTCATAATGTTATTGCTGTAAATACTAGCACTTGATTGTTTATGAAATGTTCTGTAATACTTTTCTCAAACTTGTGGTACGGAAATTCCATTGTAACATCACATCCATAACCGTAACTTATAGGTGGAATGATTTAATTTATGGCTGCTATCGTCGCTAACAATTTTAGCACGTTACGTTTTTCGAACATAGAACACGGTTATGTAATTGAAATATAATTTAAATTTTCTAATCTTCGATGTTTGAATCTATTTTCGTTCTGGATGAGAGAGCAACGGATTTAGTAACGGAGCGTATCGTTGCCCACGCAAATTGTAAACGTATTCCCTTGATAATATTGTTTTTATTGTACATACCCATCCATTGCCATGGATAGGAACGTTTTAAATTAATGAATAAAAAAAAAAAAAACGTGTTCCCTTCGAACCGGGGTCGTTTAACGGGACGCGGATGTCGCACGCGATCATCGCTCCAAACACCAAATGGTCGGTGGGTGAACTCGGACACCGATCGCGAAGGTCGGGACGCTATACGATGTGATGGAATACATGAAGGTTGCGGTCACAGTGGCACCAACATCGGTCGGCCGATAAAATTGGCCGACAGTTGTTCATTTCAAAGCAACGAGTGCAGGTTATAATTTATATTATATATATATTTGTGTTTTGAAACAAGTCCTGCTATTAAATATTTATTAATAAAAGAGCGAAAGTATCACACGAACGACATTTTTAAGGATAAGAAAAAATATGGAGGATTCCATACATTGTTTCACTGACTGTTGGAACAGCATGAAGATTTACTACTATGGTCCCATAAGTTTTTCCCTTCACGGACCGAACTTACAAAATTTCTCGCGGTCCACGATGAAAATGTAATATTGTATAATAATTTCCGTGTTTGAATCGATTACGTGGACCGAATCGGCCGATAAAGAACACAAACGAGTTTGAATCTCGTCCGACGGGTATATCCGACCGTCGGCCGATGCGGTCGGAGACACTGAGAGATCGCTTGTACAATATTGACTTTATACAAAACGATCGAGCGAGTTTCACCGACGTCAGTGCCACTGTGGCCGCGGCCTAACGCGACGAACGACACCGCGTGACGCGTCCACCCGTCATGATCGCACTGCGAACGAATCGCGTTCTTCGCGTGGTTCGCACGCGTTTTCCTGGTGTGCGCGACGCGAAAAAATTCGGCGACGACGGACGATCAAGCAACGGACCCGCAACGTTCGCACGTAACACCGCATCGTATCGTACTGTTACGTGTTGCGACGTGACGTAGCGTTCCGTCAGTTACGGCCACGGCGCTAAGCACTTCTTACTTCCGTGGGGGAGGGGGCAGAGTGGGGGCTAAGGTTAATTCAACAAATAATGAGCTTATTCGAATAAAACATAAATATTTTCGTATCGCACAACGTGATATAGCTGTTATTATTTTCGTGACATACAATCACAGTTAGACGAAAACGAACAAATGGTAATAAACCATAAGTAAACAAGGTAAATAGCTATATACGGTTCAGAGTCCATCTAAAAAATTAAAACACAAATCTTTGAAAATACGAAAGTATTTACATAAATTACAAATTTCATAAATTCTTCGATGTAGCTCTTTTAAAAATAATGTTTTATGACTTTATTTTATCGTACATATTTTCATTGGGAAGGCTGACGAGGGAGATAAACTGTTTTTGTGTGTGTGTGTGTGGGGGGGAGGGGGTTAAGCGCTAAACATATTTATCGGGACGATGCACATCGAAAACTGTACACATTCAAACGGTTATCGAACGTTCCGGTAACGTTGGCTGATCCACGTCGTCATCGCGCCCTTATTCTTGGTCGTGGTAACCGCCAAAGTAATTTCCACCGTGTGTACGATATAACGGTCTTAATCGAATTCCGTTGAAACTAGTAATACAAGACGACTATGATAATGTAACATGACGTGTTTCCCGCTAGTTATAATTCGCTTCGTGTTTCAAATAAACAATAAATAAAACTTACGTCATAAATATATATAAAAAAAAAAAAAAGTTTTTCTTTAGAATAAAATATAATATATTATAATTTGCATATTAAACTTGGGGTGAGAATTCTTAAGATAAGCACTACATTATGTGTGCTTAATAATATTAAATCAAATTGTAAGCAAGCTCAAAAGGGTTATGTAGACAATGTAGGCGGTACAAAGTAATATTATAAAACGTAATTATGGGTATATTTAAAATGTTAATTATTTTTCTTGCCCATGGGTTTACCATACGTACGCGTATGTGTTTCTTGCATATTTTTTACATTTATAGTTTACACGTTACACAACTATATAGTATGCTGTTACCGTATATCGATAGTGAATTTAAATTAAAATTAAAACAATAGAACATATCAATCCACTGTTATATCTAAAAGAACAAACTTAGCTACGATAATAACTATCAAGCATAAATAAAATAATACAAAAAAAAAAAAAAGAATGTAAAATAAAAAGAAAAAAATATTTTATTATCAATTTCTAAAGCCTTGTGTTTCATATTGTTATATTACGCGATTAAAGGATATTTTTATGGTACCATTTGATCAACAAAATAAAACATGCATGTTTAACCTTGAAAAATGTAATGAATTTGATAATTTTTACATATTTATCTTATATACAAATATAGTAACCGATAAAAAAAAAAAAAAAAATTAAATTTATATTATTTATATACGGTCTGACACTATATTCGTTGAATAATCGTTAATGGCAGACGAACACAACTCTTGTACAATATGGTCCAGCAGTTTAAACGTTCACCTCGACGAAAATAGATTCAAACATTAACTGTACATAATTATGTTAAGTGCACTTGAATGCATTTTTTTTTTACGCGATAACACAGACAAAAAGTGCTTGGCGTATATAGTTATATAATAAATTTACGATGCAGTTTAGTTACCACCTGTACGGCCTTTAAAATTTTATTGCTGCGCTAAACCCGTTTGTTTTTTTTTTTTTTTGCAAGAATGGAATTATACATTTTATATTATACGTTTTAACGAACCGTGCAATAATAATTTGGCAGTATTAATCGCATACCGCTTTTGCTCTTCGCTAACGGAACGATAGATTGCGTTCTCCCCGTGTAATCCCGCTACGGGATGTGTACGCGCTGTACCGCGAGCGTTGGTGTACTAATTAATGGAATTTCATAGCCTACAGGAGTCATTTTACCGGTAAAAGTTTTCCGAACACATCTTCCGAAACCGACTTACAGAAGTACAACGCGTCAACGCTATGGGATCATTCTACATCGCTGGGGAACCTGGCGACGGACAGCTTGAAATACAAAGTACGTGAAAACGCAAGTACCACACGACAATCTTAATAGAATGCTGAACACTAATAGGGCTCAAGGACGTATGTAGACGATTTACCGCTGGTGTGCGACTACTGCGGCAGTGGGTCGAACGAATACCTGCCGAAGGGATCAAAAGGGGGGATGGGTGGATTGTCGGCCGCGCGCGAGAACGTCGGAAACCGCATTTCGATTAATCATCGCCGAAGCAATTATGCACTGTTATATCAATTGTTTATTCCTCGGTCGTTGCGGACGACGTTCAACGTTTAATTTCTCGCGCTGCACGATTGTTGATATGTACGGCTGTCGAATGTTAAAAATATCACTTTTACGTTTTTGCGATAAAGTACGAGCACACCGATTGACGGCAGGAATGATCGCACTCACCTGGCTGCGTATAAGACGTGACAGGTCGTTTACGCAGTAGTGACGAGAATAATCCAAATTTGCCGATGTTCGAAAATCCGGATTCTTGGAATTCGAAGTCTGAAATCCGGAGTTTACTTTAAATTCGAATTTCGGATTTTATAACTTGAATTAGTTTTGTATTATGTATGACCTATAATATAGTTTTGATAACTACACGTGTTTTGTAATAAATTGATATTTTTAAATTATAATATAGAATTCCGTAATTTTAAACCCTATATTCGGATGTTGAAATCCGAGAATCTGGATTTCTGATTTTAAATTCTGAAATCCGGAGATTTGGTAAATTTTTGGAAGACCTGGATTTAATTCCCATCACTAGTGTATACCATGTACGTGGGGTCTGTAGTACATGCCGAATGGAACGTATGAATAGTATACCTTGTGCTGTAAACCCTTCCGAAAAGAAGTAAACGTTTACTCGAAAAGAAAATGAAAATGCGTGCATTGATAAATACTAACACAGTTTCGGTGACACCGGAAGGAGTAACTTTTCCGACTGGAAGTGAAACGATGAATCAAATATTTTGTTCCCGACTCGGTATCCAAATCGTTTGCCGTACATCAAGCATAATGTACAGCAAAGGATTTAGAGTTTTAGAAAAGGTTCGATAAAGAACGTTAAGAAATCATATTACGGAATCGTATTATGTGCCATATAGTACATTATATAAATACAGTTATTTTGACGTTATAAAATTTTAAACTGATCGTACGAGCATAGTCAAATTTCCATAATAATTTACAATTTGATTCTGTTATATTATAAAAAGTTTGAAATTGAATAGCTCCCTAAATAAAAGTTTGATACAATAAAAATCAGTTATGGATGAAAAAAAAAAAACAGTATATTGATGGTTAAGCGCACACATGTGTGAAGTAAAAATTTTATGTATAATGTGTTATGTAATAAAAAAAATATTTCAAATTGTGTATTTTTATGTGCACAAATGAGGTACATGAAATACTCTTATAACGACGTATAATATTGTGATCAGATGTTGTATTTACTCTGGTATCTATCCCATATGTGATAAGAGCGCTTTGAATGTCATTCCTGAAAAATGTATACATATGTATTTAACACATTTGTGTGCTTAACCATCGATATTTCCTTTCGCTGAAATTAGAATCAAAAATAATTTGTTTCGCTCATAATTGGCTACATGACTTAAATAAATTCAATGCAACGAGAAAAAGTATACATATATCGACTATAAGTTATATACTCAAGAGTTTTCGGTCCATTAGTTTTCAATGATTCACTCAAGGACCGAAGAATGTTCAATGCTATATTTCCTATTTTACGGCAGTTCAATAAAATGATAAATTAATGTTACAAATATATGTTCGATTCTCAAAATAATATAAGATTGCTTACTAGCGCAAGGTCTGTTGGGGAATTTTACCAAAAATCAATTACTTTGATTTATTCCATTCGGCATTTAAGTTTTATATGTACATTCCAAAATGTTGTAAAGTTCTTCAATATTGCACACAACTACGTACCTATGTGCATCCATGTTTTATTTTTGACACTTTTTTAAGCTTTCTATGTATATGAAATATTATGCTGTATTGGTTGCGATTATTTGAAACAATGTTTTTATTTTTTTAACAATTTTACAGGATATTATCATAAAATATAATAATATCGCTTTGATTTGTTTTTTAATAAATCATTATGTAGAATGTTTGCTGTTTGAATTTATTATTACTTTTTAAGATAAGACTGCGTTTTTTTTTAAATATTTTTTATAAGCTTTACAATTAATTTAATTCATAATAATAATTCGAATATTATATAATTGTATTGAACGCCAAGAAAAAACAGCGTTCGTAATGTATATTAAGTGCTATTCAAAAATATTAATTCTTGGGCAAAAAAAGTTAAATCACATCTGCAAAAAAAAAAAAATGAATAAACGTTCTTTCTTCTATTTCGCTACAATCATCAGTATATTATTATGAGCAAGAATTAAATAGTGTGTGAGCGTTTGATTGAATTATTTCATTATATTTGTCATATTACGTTTTTTTTTATTATATTCCATTAATTCTCTGTTGCAGTGCAGCTTAATAAATCGTAATATATCTTGTACGTTATTCGTTTGATAAATTCAAGTAGCGCACGTCTAGCTATTTCTTTGTTTGCTTACATTTCAAACAATATAACTATGTGCATTAATTGTTCTTGGTAATATTTGCATTTCGTCTAAACGATGTAGCGAGCCGTACAGGGCTACAACACAAAAATGAAACGGTCTGCATGCGAAACAAAATAAATTGACCTAAACACGTTTCGCCTGGAATTAACATACCAGTAGACGGCTATGAAGACGATAATATTTTAATTTTTAAATCGTACACCGAGCCGTAACCCGTCCGTTCGTGTCTCATTACGCGGATCTTTTCAACTTTTGCCGTTGTCCTTTCAGTGAATCGCAAAAAATTGTAACGACTGCGACAGCGTAACACCGTTATACGAGTAGTCTTTACAAAAATATTTTTAAGCAACAATACAATGCGCACATAGGATGCACGTTATAAGCGCGTGTAAACGTTACGCCAAATCCGTGAAATTGCCAAACTCATGAAAACAGCAATGCCGTTGACATGCCCGATGGATGAAGTTAGTATTTTAGTTTGGTCGAATTCACGTGAGGTCGGTGGGAAAATGTTTGACTTATATATGAAATCAGCAATATCACGAATTTGGCGTAATACGAACAACGATATATTATGAACAATGTGGATTTTACGGGTTGATGGTTTTGTGTGCTTACAGTAGACCCGAATCGGTCAGACCGACCGAACCGATAGATATTCGTGTCGAATTATTTTTGGATTTTTGGAGTTGCACTCGTTGTCACAGAATTTTTATCCCAAATAAACAGGTATACAGACGATTCAAACCACGCATTTGTGTTTGACGCGATATATTTCTGACACTTGACGTATACAGTGGCACCACGGTGTAAAATAGTGTTTATAGAAGTCGTATTAATTTTTAAATTTAATGCATTCAAATGGTCAAAGGATGAATTGTTTATAAAAATAATTAAATAAATTTAAAAAAATCGAAATCGATGAACAAATTTGTACTTATTGAAAATATACAAGTTGATTGTTATATAAAAAATGTATATTAATGGTCGATAGAATCGATAAATCGTAGATCAAAACAATATTTTTTCGATGATGATATCGACAAAATTTGTCAAATTTTAGAAAATAATACCAATATTTTTGAAAATTTTTTGTGCTACATGGATGCATATGGATAAAAACGTTTTTATCGTCAAGCCTCAATAGAGACGGGGAAAAAAAATATAAGTACATTCGGTGCAATATTGTTCTTGTTGTATGCTCATTCTTTTGGGAATGGCGAAATGGATTTTAAATATCTGGTTCATCGTGTATCTACCGATAAAAATCGTATTCTACGTATTTTTCTATAGTTTTGGCTGTAGGACAGGAATAATCGCGTTTTTTCTGGTCCACCCGTTGATTTATTCATAATACATGTGTAACAGTAACCGAAGTAAGCTCACGATCGCTACGAACCGATCCGTAAGATGTATTGCAAGTATATGATCAACTCGTACATTTGAACAGTCGAAAGTCGAATCGGACGACGGTACAAGAGCACGTGCAAGATCGGCAGTTCTCGTCCCGGGTGTATCGCGTGGTGATCCCACTCAGGTCCGGATTTTGGGATACGATATATTATTCGCTCGGGACTCCGGGGTTTAAAACGCTATGTTATGTTTTTTTTCTTTTTCCGTTGACATAAGAATCGAATTTAAATAATAAATTATTAATGGAATTTTTTCACGTTACAAGAAATGATACGAACGGTATGACCCCGGCAGAAAAAATTCTAAAAATTGTCGCGCCGGTAGCGTAGGCCGTACGATCAACGAACACCACGAACGTGGGGCGAACGGTTGACTCGTCGGCCGGTGCTGTCACGGTTGGCCTTTGGTGCAAAACCATGACGGTGGTTTAGGGCGCGTGCGACGGCTCCAGCTGCCGGCTTCTCGGGGGATGACACGGAGAGATAACACCGGGGCGTTGGTTTGCGCGTCGTCTAGACCACCGCCGCAGCCATTTCTCGAAACGAACATATATCGTCGTTAAAATTTCACATCTAATTCTCTCCGCCGACATTATTAACGGTTCACGACCAGCCTAATGAATGCGCGGCGGGCCTCTGTGATTTGGCGCGCGGTCAAAATATTCGCGTAATGATCCGCCTTTCAATCACGATTTGCGTTCTTTTCTCGTTTTCTCGATGATTTTTTTTTTTCTTTTCTGTTCTACGCTCGCGCACATATCGCTTGTGCGTACGGCGAAACCGACGTCCGTCCGTCTCTTCTTCCGTCGCATTTAATTTTAGACGTCGTACATCATCGGCGGGGTATTATTGCACAGCCTGTCCGGCGCGCGCGTTGCACACGTGTTTTACGACGCGCACCGGAAAGACGTCGCCAACGATCGGTCGATCGAGTTCGATTCGTATGTCGATTAGTTTTTACCCGACGATCATTCCCCAAGAATTACGAGACCCGAAACATGCATTGCAATCCTCGAGTCGGGCGGCGTCCAGCGTCTGTTACGTTGTTGTGTTTTTATCGTTCGTCCGATCGATATTCCATACGACTTAACCGGTAGACCGAAGAGAAAGTTCCGTTCACTGGGTCGGTGCGTATGAAAAATTATCTGTTTTCCTATATCTTATCCTGAAACGGTACACGTTGTTCGAAGAATTTTTTTTTTCAGTCGAAAACGGTTTACGAACGTTTTCTATGGAATTCGGTGAAATACATTACCACCATCTCGACGACATAGAAGTCATTATGTATAATCACTTTTTTTTTATTTATATTTTTATTCGTTCCGATATGGATTTTGTTAGTTCGCGTCGGCAGAAAGAATGATAGCTTTTCAACCGAATTGATTCAATTTCTTTTCGAAACGTTTATGTCCTCAGAAAACATTGAATTACTTTCAAATTAATCATTCCCAACATAAATCCATTTAAATCAACTGCTACGAATCTTATTCATTTTTATGACATTTTTTTTTCTTAAATTTCATGTTTTATGATTTTTGTAACACGTGATAGTTTCCGCAATATTTGAATCAAACGATTAAACCAAACGGATACAAGTGTTTTAATGTAATTTGTTCGAAATCGAACCAAAAAACAGAGCATTTCGTGCCAAATAAACGCACACAGAGAAAATAACCCCAATGTATCTTTAATAGTTCATCAAAGAATACACCAAAGGACAAAGAGCATATGATGTCAGTTTTTCCCTTTTTGTTACTCTGTCAGTGCTTGATTAACGATATAATGATGTAATTATCTACACTTCGACTCGATAGTTTGTCGTCGGTTCGATAATTCGCCTTGTACGACGCGTTATGTCTCGCAATCGTTTGAAAAATAAAAATTGTTTTCAAAAAACATATTGTTCTGCGTTACTCAACGAATTATTATTAACAGCGTATCACTTCTTCTCATCCCTTTCATGTATGTATTATATACATACAGATTGTTATCTCAAAGTATACTCTTTGATGTTTCAACTGCGCATTTCATTCTAATTTCTGATTTATAAAAATTGTGAATTGTGTATTATAAAACTGTATTTTCGTACTTTCCAAAATATAGAATTTTTTTTTTTTACATGTGAACATTGTCAGTTAAGCACTTTTGTTTTTCAAATGGAAACGCCGTTTTTATTTTATGCGAATAACTTCGCGTGAATAAATTTAATAAATTCAATTAATTTTTCTAGGATTTTTAATATACCATGGTCAGTTACACCAGTACACTTATTTGATTTTACTGCGATGTACGTATACCATCAACGCATCCCAGTTGATGGTATTATAATGTTTTTGTTATCGTATCACGCAGAATTATTAAAGAATATACAGCATGCGTAACGATCCCCGATCGATATAAATATTTACTTTTGAACTTTAAAATGACGAGTATAATACCTGCGCGCTAGACCGATTAAATCCTAATGCGCGTGATACTCGTACCGTAACAAATCGTTTTATAATCCACCGCATAACCGTTATTAATACGGGTGAGTGTAAGTTTTCACACGATGTGTAGCCGGTATATAAATCACCCATGGGTACGCACATATAAGTTCCAACACGGAAAAATACACCTAAACCATTCGAGTTCCTACACGAATAAAATTCATGACAAATACAAATCTCGTTTCCTTTTATTCTGTCACTCAGGACAGGTCATTTAAGTGCAGTTAAAACGATTGGAAATATTTTAATTTTGTGTTTAATAAAATATCGTGTAATGTCTAATCCTATTTTTGGATCCAATACAAAACATTGATTCGTACCATTTGGAAAGTAACGCATTTAATTTTGTCACCACGTTGGCACATTCATTCGAGTATATGTATTTTTATTGGTGTTTGATCTTACGTATCGCCGTTATGTTTCACGTGAGAACTTACCAGACCACATTAATATTACGTACAAAACTGATACGTAGGGTATGAATTTCATCCAGGTTTCTGTGTCTATAGTCGAACACGATTGCGGACGAACAAACGGAGAAAACTCTCCGTTATACTCTCAATTCGCGTCGCATTGCGTTATAGTAATTATCAAATTATTAAGTTTCGATTTCAAACAATTAGCCCGCATTTGATGCGTAAATCAAATATAATTATATTACTACATCCGCATGTGGCTAAGAACAATTCATTATATTATTGTTTTAATGTTATTTACACGATTTAGCAGTTTAATTATTATTAAACGTTCGACTAACATTGAACACTAGTGCAGTAGAAAGAGTATTAGATTATTAGCTATTAAACGATCAATGCATCGTCAATGTTTTTCCTTAACACTTACGTTACAAACAATAATTGTCCAATGCACTATGTATTGGTTCTAAATAACAATAAAAAATTGGCTTTTTTTTTTTTAATTAATTCCGTAGTGCATGTAGTAGATTATGTTGAAATTCTAAATGCTTAGAATTGTTTGTTACCCACATACACTAGACACATTCGTTTTTTTATCTCAATTAAATGCATTTGAAAAAAAAAATCACTAACTAATCATCAACACGTAGAAATGATGATTTAATAACGTAATGTTATTTCCATTGTTCAATATTGTTCTAGTATTCCATCCAAGACAATGGGTCAGCAAAATTCTTTCAAGGGGCTCTACACACACCGAACATGGGCGAAAAAGTGGCTCAGGTAAATAAAAAAATAAAAATATTTTAATTCGTATTAATTCCGTCAAAATTGTTCTAAACAATTTTCAACAGAACTCGCTATCTTCTAGTTATACATTAGGAAACAGATTCAATAACATTATGAAAAATATTGCGCTATGGTAGATATTTGGAGAAAAAATCCCGTAGGGATAGCTATAAAATGAGTGACGAATAAAAATATTAGATGTACATCCTTGATTTTTGTTAATAAATAACGTTTTTGGGCTGGCCGCGAAGGTATAAGGTATATGAGCAACTGACAGGGGAACTTTCATATATGTACCTGCAGTGTTGAATCAACAAATTATATTATTCAGGGTGCAACGTATTGTTAGCAACCAGAAAAATGATCAACAAATAATTCACCTAAAATGATTCAATATATGAATTATTGAAGGAAATTTCGAGGTATAATTGGTTAATTTCAATATACACTATGTATAGACTTTAAAATAAAAAATTTAAAACTGGTAATAGGTTTAAACTTGAGCCTACATCGCGATTTAATAGTGTCAACAACAAATAAACTAAGCGCTAATACTTATCTTGCTTCATTTTGAAGTAAATTCGTTTACACTGTCTTCATAATTGTCTACGGCCGGCCAATGCGATATCGGTATCTCTTAACTGCCGAGTGCCACGGTCGTATACTTTTATCACGTCCATAACATCGAAAATATAACATGACGATCATCGTTCCGACATTCCATGATCATGGCAGCTAGTGCAGCTGCCAACTTTGTTACATTAAAACTACTTTGTCGGTAAATACTTGTACAATACTCGTTTGCCAACGGAAGATTCAATTTTTTTGTTTGAAAAAAAATTAAAATGTAAATAACAATACGCGTTGAAAATTTGAAATTTACACCCTTCTGTAATTAACACCTGGTACGCAAGTGCTGGATTTCTGACCCTCCCCCTCACTATTTAGATCCGGTACCAGTTGTCCCGCGCGCGAACCAACTGTCTTTTCGGTAGTTGCACGTAAACTCGGACCGTCGATAATGATCCAACGGCTATAATATTTTCGATTAATCTGTGGGATCAACCCTTTTGGATTAGACGTTTGTTACGGCGACGGCATGACTAGATACGAATGCGGTGACGAGCAGCCTTGTGGTGTTTTTTTTTTTTTTACCGAAAACCCATTCGCGTGTTTGAAAATATAATCGTTTATTTACGGTTCATAGTCGTCCCGATGTCTTTCTTCCCTTTCCCCACACTCTCGCACCCTTACACATCGTGCGAATAAATGGGCCTCTCGTACCGATGGTAAATAATCGCGTTGAAACGGTGCACAAACGTATCCGAAAACTCATCGAGATCTTCTCGCACGTAATACCCAAACAATTTATCACCGTTCAACGATGAGTTGAAACGAATCGGAAACGTCTTGCGAAACGAACACTCGTGTTATCGTTTTTTTTTTATTATAGAGTTCAGCGTCCGAATATTATGCGTATAGACGAGTGGATCTCGTAGCAAGTTTGTTGTATTATAATATATTTTTGTTAATAACATTATTTTACAATGCGAACACGTCTGTTAATGCATTTCAACGTGTAAATACGAACATTTATTATTGGGTCCACACACATATTGAAAATACATTCTGTATTCAAGTTACACGTTTGCACAACGCAACAAGAATTTTATATTGCACCATGTAAATATTGTATTTACGCAGTTGTTGCGAATCGCGATCACGACGAGTTTCGAAATATAAATTTCAACAAATCAGTTCGCGTCGTTTCGGCTGTCCTTGTATTTGATAAAAAAAACCAATCAGCGAAACGTACGAAATACATCGATAAGGGACATTATACGTACCCGGTGTTTAATTTTCATCGACAGACTGGGAAATTCTAATTTGATTATACTTAAGAATAAATACGCTCGTACGAAGATGATGAATAAAATAATTAGCAACTTCATAATAAACGATTAAATAATAAAGTGATTAAAATAAAAATATTTTTTTTTTTTTTTAAATTGGGTATGTGTATTATTTTATTCCGATCAGGATTAACAATCAAAGCATCGAATTCTGTATTTCTGAAATTATCCTGTTGGATTATACATACATATACACATATATATATACCATTAGGTTTTTCCGACAAAATTGTATACAGAGGCGTCACCTGTCCGCCAGACGCGCAACTTACGAACAGCGTGTTACGTTTTACTATAAGTAGAACGTTTGCAGTGAATCTGAATTAATTCAATTTTAATTTTTTATTTGTGTCTATTTTTAAATATTATCCTACAAATTGCGGTCGCTATTAAGAAAAAAAAAGTGAACGTTGGCTTATAAGGTTTTAACATCGTTAATCTATTTTGATTTTTTGCTGTTAAAAAGTAATTATTTATTTTAAACAGCGTGGAAATTCCATCAATCAAGTAAAAATCAAAATGTGTTGCAATTAAATATGAAATGCGTATTATTTATTTATGAACCAGCCTTTGACGTAATTATAAATGAGCATGTAGTAAAATTATCATTATCATACGTGTAAAAGTTTATTGAATACAAATGTATAATTAAATTATAGTTCAGAGACACGACACTTGTCTCCTTTATTCTGAATTTTCTAGAGTGTTCTTCTGGTTATTAATAATTAAAAGTAATCAATCTTCATTATTTTCTATCGAGATATTAATTGTTAATTATTGTTGACATTAATCGCTAGTCCAGGGAATACATTTTTTATCTTGTTCACTTGTATCGTTTAGCGCGTTAGTTCAATTCGAAATGTTCAGCCTGAATATGTTAATCATGTTATAATTTTCATTAAAATGTATGGTTTATTAAAAAAAAAATAGTGAACATGATAGTATTGCTCATAATGATTATGTATAAATAAAAGCATATAGAATTAAAAAAAGTATACACATATTTTTCATTACGTTCATTCCAATGCATAACATCAGTGGTTTTTTCAGAACAGAAAACTTTAATGAAACGATAAGAAAAAATTAATAGCTTAATTATAGAAATTAAATCTCGCATCGATTTAATAAATGTAAGTATATTCATTTAAATATTCAAGACAGTGTATGTAAGTGTTACGGGATGGTTCCAAGTTCGTCGCGAGATAATGTTTAAATAACACTAAATATTCAAACATATGTGTACACTGCGATTTAAAGTTGAAGTGAAGTTACGATTCGGCCTAACGAACTGTTTTTTAATTAAAATAAAATTATGCACGAATACTCTACTGTAATATATTTTTTTTTCTCGTCACACTAATACACGCTGATTTAGTAAAAAAAATAGCCATTTTGAATTCGTATCATTGGTCCAGCGGCGTTTTGTATAGGCAATTCAGGTACATTCATGCGTACGATATTTAAACGCTCGGGTGACACGTTGGAAAATCATTAAAATAATATAAAACTATTATAGCATTAACATGTGCCATAATTATTATTATACCAACGTTAATGCTGATATGTTATTTCACCGATGCTTTGTTTGCCACATTTATGCGCCCTCTCCAATTGGAAACAGTTTTAATGGTGCATCTGCTCCACGTATTTATTGCACGTTTACGTTTGAAAGTCCAGCTGTTAAGATAATAATCGAAAATATTATCATACCGTGTTTTCGATAATAGGATTATTAACGCGAACCATAATCCGACTCCGTTTCTGATGAAATTCGATTTTTGTTTTGTCGTGTGCAATTAAAAATGTATTTGACGGACAGAAATGATCGTATAAAAGAAATAGATGTACGCGACAACACGCAGTGGTTAGCAGGTTTTGAAATTTCGAAAAAAAAAAAAATCAACATCAATTTTTTTCAGACCAATATCAGCGAAAGCAATAGACTGTCGAACGAATTCTGCAATGATCACGGTGAAAACCAATGAATAAGGTTAGCACTTAAATAAATATTGTTTCATACGTAATACTAATTGTTATTGCACTTGTTCGTTCACGATAACATAGAAAACATGGCTTAACTAGACCCCTGTATTATACGTCTGTTCGTTCATTTTAGGATTTTGGTTAGGTGTATAAACCCTTCTTGTACAATCCCGCCTACCAATACGAATGAAGATATTTGTGATTTCGTTCGATTAGAATGCGAACGCTGTCTCCTTGATTTAGGAATTTATAGCTTGTTTTGTGAACCTAACGTAGATTATACACAACTAGTTCAATAGCTTTGGTTAACTTTCTCACGTAGCCGTATGGCTGCTAACAACAATGTTTTACTTTTTCAAGAATGTTCCGTTTTAATTATACATCGTCATTGGGTTAGTTTCTCATTTTTGTTTTACACAATATCAACAGTAGCAACATAATAAGGTTTTAAATTTTTTAATAGGACGCCACACCCGCATGCGTCGTCTCTATCTGACAGACGTGCAACATAACAAATTACTGTTTAGTAATTCAAATATAGTGACGTTAGTTGTAATAAGAGTAAATTTACCTAAAATCAAATTTTAAAGGGAGAAGGGAGAATAGTATCTGTGTTCATTTATTGGTCGATTTTTTTTTCGATAATTTAATTTTCGAGTGAGTTATGGGTTTTTTATTCTAAAAATTTTACATACTCATAACTCGCTTAAAAATTAAAATATCGAAAGAACCAACTAAAAAAAAAAAACAGTTCGTGTTGTTCCATCAAAATTTGATTACAGGTCGGATTACTCTAATATTAATATTATTATTATTATTACTACATTTGAACTACCGAACGAAAATTTGATGAGTTGTACGTTTGTCAGACGGAGACAGCGTACGCTGGCGTAACGTCTTCTTAACAATAAATACAAATTATATAATATATACAGTTATCGTTTAATATCGTAGTATCTAGTATATGTATAATTCTTAATCACGTGTTTTCGTGGTTCTACCGTTGGAATGATTTTCATTCAAAAACCACCGTATTATTACGTCCAATGTCGGACCAAACGCCCTATATGTCCCGCTCTCGTCTGGCCACCACGAACA